CTTAAATGGGGACAATGTTGGTTTTTCTCTCTCTCTTACACACACACACACACACCCCCCCAATATGTTAAAAGAATGCTAAGGTTGCAAATCCAGGCACTCAGAAGTTAGGAAATGCCAGAGTTAAGATTGCATCTTAATTCAGCTCCCCTGCGTATGCATTATGATAGTCTTTAATTACATGAGCAAATGTCATTTCCATAGACCTCTGCTTCATCCATTGCTGACTTGAATGGGTTCACTGTTGAATTCATTTTTTCTATTTATCCTTTATTCTTTACAAACATTAATGAATTTGTCCTGACAACATCCTGTTAGGAGAGGTGGTATTACTATCCCCATTCTATATATTTCACTTTATATGCTCAGAGCAGCACTTCCATTATCTCAATTGCAGTTTTGAGTGCTCAGCAGTTCTTCAACTCAGACCCAAGATGTCTGAAGTTGGGGCCTCAGAAAATGGAGAACATGTATGTTCTTATAACAGAAAGTCATGGGAAGCTTTAACAGTATTTGTTGCTGCCTCTGCCACCTATAAGTATGCAACTATATGCGTATCCTTAATGTTTTCTCTAGAAGATGGACCATCAAGGGTACAAAGCTTCATTAATGATGATTAATAACCAGTAATCAAATTCTTAATGCCCAAGCTCAAATTCTGCCTTTTACAGACTGCCTAGGCTTGGTTTAGCCAGTTTTGGTCAGGCTTCTGGGGAACCCCCTTACCCTCAACAGTCTTGCCAGTTTTCCTTTTGTCATGAACTATGAATTATGGACATGGACCTTCTGTCCCAGTCTCTATTCAGGACAGCATTTAAGCATACAATTAAGTCCCATAATAAGCATTAGCATGTTTCCTGAATTGAGACCCCACACTCTTATGGACATGCTTAAAGTAAAGCACGTACTTAAGTGCTGTTGTGAATAAGGATGCTTTCCTTAATCCATGGCCTAAGTGACTTGCAGGATATGAATGGATTTTAGCATGTCCTTAAATGTTTTGCTTTGCTTTGCTGAAAAGAAATGGGAATACTGGTATGTTTGTGTGCTTAGCTGAATCATGGACTTCTTATTGTGAATGTTAGAGCATGGGAGATCAGTAATTGATTTAGCCTGTAATGTTTCAAAAGAGCCAAAGGAATGTAGACATGCAGCTCCCAGTGAGTTTCAGTGTGATTTGGACACTTAACTCCCTTAGTCTCCTTTGAAAATCCCAGCCCTAGAGAATATTTTTTGGCACAATGATATGTATATAATGGTAATTAAAAACAAAAAAGCTCTTAATAAAAGAGGATAGATTATAAAACTAGGCCAGGATTAGAAACACAGAATTTTGAGTATGGCAAAGCAAACCTATCTGGAGAATTAACTTTCTTCCCCCAGTGTTTGCTTGAGTTATTCAGCCTTCTTTTACTGGTACCTCATACATCAATCTCTTTAAATAGCTAGGAGACTTCCTGCATGTTGATGAAGAGAAGCTTTTCACAACCAACAGATTTCATTCCCTATGCAAACTTTCTATTTTGAAACAAAATTCTGAAGTTAGTTCCAGCAGCAGATTAGTTGAATTTTGCCTGAGCCAGATCAGCTTATCTTTCTTGCTTCTAAAAAGATGACCAAGTTTTGCTCCAGTTACAAAAAGTCTAAGATCACTGGGACTGACATTACTTGTGTATGGCAAAATGGAAGCAACACCATCACAGGACCTAACCAGATCAGCTACAACATCACCGGCTCATTCACCTACACGTCCACCAATGTTATATATGCCATCATGTGCCAGCAATGCCCCTCTGCTATGTACATTGGCCAAACTGGACAGTCACTACGCAAGAGGATAAATGGACACAAGTCAGATATCAGGAATGGCAATATACAGGTACAAAAACCTGTAGGAGAACACTTCAACCTCCCTGGCCACACAATAGCAGATGTAAAGGTAGCCATCTTACAGCAAAAAAACTTCAGGACCAGACTCCAAAGAGAAACTGCTGAGCTCCAGTTCATTTGCAAATTTGACACCATCAGATCAGGATTAAACAAAAACTGTGAATGGCTATCCAACTACAGAAGCAGTTTCTCCTCCCTTGGTGTTCACACCTCAACTGCTAGCAGAGCACCTCACCCTCCCTGATTGAACTAACCTCGTTATCTCCATACTGATTTATACCTGCCTCTGGAAATTTCCATTACTTGCGTCTGATGAAGTGGGCATTCACCCACGAAAGCTTTTGCTCCAATACTTCTGTTAGTCTTAAAGGTGCCACAGGACCCTCTGTTGCATTATCCTTAGTAATATTCTCAGAGAGTTGATATAGTTAATGGCCCCTAGAAATACCTGTCATGCTGGCACTGCATTTTACTGTTTTAGTAATCTACATATACACTTTAAAAAATAATAAAATTAAGTGTGATCTTTATGCAAATGACAATGTTACTGTAAATATTAACATGGAATAGCATGCAATCACCTGTATACAATGGTTATTACTGAAACATTTAATAGAAAAGAGCTGTACAAACACAAACTAATCTTTACAACACTCCTGTGAGATACATAATTATTACCCCTTGACAGTTCTCGGGCCGACCAGGATTGTCTCCTTGTTACCCCCCTGCCTCCAGCAAGAGGGAGACTTGCTTGTGCTTAACTGGGTGCCCAGTCCCTGACACCTCCAGGCTGTGAGCCACCCAAACAATCTCCTCTGGGCTAAGCCAGTCCTTATTTTCTCTTGAAGGTTAAGAAGAGGTGCACCCCAGTCCCTGAGTGAGCCCCTTTGAAGCATTCCCCTGTAGTGTTTAGCCCCTCATCCCCTGAACACTCACAGTAATACCAGATATGTTGTCCCCAGGGGAACAGTGTACTCACTAGCTTGAATGAGTCAACTCAGGATTAGCTTGTTGTACAATACCACAGCACTAATATATTTATAGTGAAAGATTTACCAGTTTATTACCAAAGATCAAGATTCAAGAGATAGTGAGTAAAGATAATGGAAACAGGAGGGTTACATATAAAACAAAATCAGTACACACTTTCTAGAGACTAAACTTAACAGGCTAACCTCCTGTCTAGAGCAGTCTTATTTCACCCAAAACCTTTTTCAGTGCTTCCAGTCAAGTTGTGATCCAGTTTTCATTAATGTAAATGCACTGTTCATTTTCCTACTATGTGCAAAATTACAAACGCTTTTCTTTGTCCCCCAGTTATCGCCCAGTAAACCTTTGACATGCACCCCCCAGATAATGCTTCTTTCCCCCTGCTGTTCTTCTCTTCCTGTTAAATCTCACAATCCTTCATCTTCATTTTGCTCAGACTGGTGATTGTTAATGAGATAATACTCAATTTACATTTCACCAGATAGATGGAGAAACATCTCTGGTCTGGCAGGAAACCAGTTTTCACCTCTGTTAACACCTTCATACAAACTATAAGAACATATTTCCATCATATATACGTAACTCCTACATAGTATCAGTATATACATATTCAACTATATTCATAACCAGTGACGCTGGCTTTCATTTAAGACCCCACATGATATTCTTTATGGATAAATACTATGAAAGTGGTATGCTAGGTGTAGTGAGTTTATTAGGTGTGTTAGAAGTTGCTGTTACAGTGAACCCTTTGCCATCTGGCACCAAAGGGCCTGTGTGCCACACTCCCATTCTACAGTGGGAAATTGATACAAAGCGGAAATGTGATTTGCTCTGCACTACCCAGTGAGAAAATGGCTAATCTAGGATTAGGTTTTAGGACTCCCACCACTGTGTATCATTCCTGCAGTCCACACTGCCTCCAGAAACATTTGTTTTGCCCTATATATGAGGCAGAAACTGTTTGGCAGACTCTTGCAAGGATGCAGTCATTGATGGGCCTGCAAGCCAGAGGACTAATGAGGCAGACTTTATGGGGATTATTTCAGTGGCAAATGAAGGTGCTTAGCACCGCCCAGAGGAGAGCTCTTAATTTGTTTATTTCCAAATGTGTGATGTACTTAGTGATATTAAAAAACAACTTTATAAGTCTGTTTGATGTTTATAAAGTATATTAAATATTTGTGTCCTTAGCAAATTTAGGGTATGTCTGTGCTAGAAATGTAGATCAACCTATATTAGGTCAATTTACAGCCACTGCTGTAATTACTGTGGTGCTGCATGTCCACACTACCCTCCTTGGGTCAGTGGTGCACATCCTCACCAGGAGCACTTCCACCAACTTAAGAAGGGCAGTGTGGGGAGCTGAGAGACTGATCTCTCAGCTCCATGGGCAGCCTCCTGCCAGGAGCCTGGCTGCCCCACAGGCTCTCGGGCTCCATTCCCTGGCTGGGAGCAGGGTCCACAGCCACCTGGGCTTTTCCCCCTAGTTTCTCACCCTGGCTCCCAGCTGGAAGCGGGGTATGAAGCTGCCGGGGCTTCTAGCGGGGGGTGGGTGGAGCCACCAGCTTCCCACAGCTCCCATTGGCTGGGAACAGTGAACCACGGCCACTGGGAGCTGTGGGTGGCTGTGCCTGCAGATGGTCAATGTAAACAAACTGTCTCACGGCCTGCCACCGCATTACCCTGATGGTCCGCAGGTTGCCCACCACTGCCCTAACTACACCAACATGAGCCTTACACCTCTCAGGGAGATGGAGTAGTTATGTTTGTGTAGAAGGACACTTACATCAGTGGGAGCAAGGCTGTAGTGTAGACACTGACATAATTAGGTGGACATAAGCGGTCCTATGTCGACCTAACTGTGTAGTCTAGACCAGCCCTCGGTAAACTACTAATGGCCTTCATTATAGCTGCTTATTAAACTTAAAAGAAAAATAAAGAAAGAACTCATTTCTTTTCACGGATTTACTGAAAATATTTTACTTGTCAAATGTAATATTTTTAATTACTGATATTTAATTTCAAATGCAAAAAATGTAAGAAAAGCTGTATCACAATTTTGTTTTTAACTAAAAGCAGACTATACTTATTACTATTTATTTTTTGTTTTTCTACAGGCTCTAGGAAGCTTTTACTTCCTTCATGAATCCTTGAAAAACATCTACCAGTTTGATTTTAAAGGTAAGCACAGAAATTAAAAGTCAGTAATTGTCAGAGACGTCTCACCATTTTTCATATCAGGAAAAACCTAGGGCTTTCTTTAATCTGAATCCATGTGTTTGGACCCTTGGAGCCATATACAGAGCCCCATTAACTTCAGAAGAACTCCACGTGCAGAGGTCAGTCAGTGCAGATCAATTGCAGGAACAGGACCTTAAATGTCAGGCAGTGGTAATTGTTGTGGCAGAATTTTGTTTACCACTTATGAATAGTGTGGGTCAGTGGGAAGGGTGTCATTATTTTTTTTTTAACAATAGACTCTACCTTCATGTTGCAAATTTTTGTAAATCTCAGAAGTTTTAATAATTTGATATGATGCTTCTAATATTTAAGTCAGTCAGTGTATGTAATCACTTCCTGGCTGAAGTTACTTCTAATGCTTCTTTAAAGTAGATAGGCAAACAGATTATTTAAAATTTACATTATTTTTAGTTGTGCGCTGTCTGCATTTAGGTCATTGAGCTGGATCAAATTAATTCTGCATCTTGCATCACATTAATTTGAAACATCACTGAAGCTGTGATAATTATGGAGTGAACTAATCGTCTCAATTGTACAGATTCATTAATTTTGTTCTCAGAAGAGACAGATTGCCTCTGTTCATGTAATTGAGGGTATAGGGTCTTCCCTTGGTGAAATATTTGAATAGCAGTTCTATAGATATTGCAATTTGAGGTTTAGCCAACATAAATCCTTCTACTCATCATCTTTTCTGATTCCCAAGGAAAATTTCAAATATTCTGTCAGTGCCTCTTCATATTTTATTTCTGAAAGAGAACATTGTAAAATGCAATAGTGATGAAGGAACTTTTAATGAGAGGTCAGCTTGTGCTTCCAGCCATTCTCCCCACCTCGAACAGTTTAATAGACATGAAGAAATAATGTGGAGTGTTCTGATTCAAATGAACTGGGAGCAGGATTGCTATGTGAGAGAAATTCTCAACATAGTGCACAGGAAGCCAGGTGCACAACTTTCGTTAATGATAGCTGGGATTGTGATCCTTACTACCTCAATCGCCACACTGAACATTTAGCCCATGGACTGATCTACTGTATTTTTGAGGGCAAGGGGTTAATGAATAAACCTATGAAACTTACATTTGTATTGTGAGATGACAGCAGTCACAACTATTTATTCATTTTTCTATGTGATCGGGCTTTGTGCATCAGTAGTATGTGAACTGTATCTGCCAGCTGATTCAGAGCCTGCAGTTTCGTTGCACCAGCAGTACAGAACTAGAGCGTTCACTCTCAGTTCCAGTTAAACCTCCCTCCCTCCGGTCATATATCAAAGATGTCCAACTCTAATGACATCTGGCGGAGTGAAGTGACATCTACACCAGGGAAGAGGGGCTGTCTGGATTTATTCACAGCTGATTGACAGCTTATTTGCTGTTATGGAGCCTTGAAAGGAGAGGGAGAGAGAGAGAGAGTGTGTGTGTGTGTGTGAGAGAGAGAGAGAGAGAGAGAGAGAAAGAGAGAGTAAATGGTTACAATGGAAGGAGAAATCAAAAGAAAGAACCAATATAAAAGTAAATAGATACTGGTTGTGCCAGCTAGAGGGAAGGTGCCCTTAGATGCTCAATGCTTCATTTGTCCAGGTCAAACATGAATCAGCTGTCTCTCTGCATCCTTCCAGCCACACCACATCAAGCTGTGATCTAGTTGAATCTCATAAACATCCCCTGACAAGGAGTTCCACAGGTTGACTATGCACTGAGTGAAGAAGTACTTCCTTATGTTTATTTTAAAACTGCTGTCTATTAATTTCATTGGGTGACCCCTGGTTCTTGTGTTAAGTGAAGGAGTATATAACACTTCTTTATTCACTTTCTCCACACCATTCATGATTTTATAGACCTCTATCATAAACCCGCCTCCTCCAGTCATCTCTTTTTCTAAGCTGAACAGTCTCTCTTCATACAGAAGCTTTTCCACACCCCTAATCATTTTTGTTGCCCTTTTCTGACCAGTATTCAAGGTGTGGGTGGAGCATGGGTTTATTATAGTGGCATTTTGATATTATTGTCTTACTGTCTCTCTCTTTCCTAATGGTTCCTAACAGAAAACTGCTGCTGTACATTGAGCAGATATTTTCAGATAACTATCCACAGTGACTCCAAGATCTCTTTCTTTAGTGGTAACAGCTAATTTAGTATTTATAGTTGGGATTATGTTTTCCAGTGTGCATTACTTTGCATTCATCAACCCTGAATTTCATAGTCACCCTGTGTAGTGAGATCCCTTTGTAAATCTTTGCAGTCAGCTTTGGACTTAACTATCTTGAGTAATTTTGTAGCTTCTGCAAACTTTGCCACCTCACTTTTTACCCCCTTTTTCCAGATCATTCATAAATATGCTGAACAGCACTGGTCCCAGTACAGATTCCTTGAGGACCCCACTGTTTAACATCTCTCCAGTGTGAAAACTGACCATTTATTCCTCCTTTTGTTTCCTATCTTTTAACCAGTCATGAGATCCATGATCCATGGGAGGACCTTCCTTCTTATTCCATGACTGCCTACTTTGCTTAAGACCCTTTGATGAGGGACCTTGTCACAGGCTTTCTGAAAGTCCAAGTCCACTATATCGAAGACCCTACCAAATTCAATTTTGGTCAATTTCACTGTCAGAGGATTTTAAAAATAGTAAATTTCATTATTTAAATCTATTTTAATTCTATTTAAATCTGAAATTTCACAGAGTTGTAATTGTAGGAGTAGTGGGGGGTCGCAAGGTTATTGTAGGGGGGGTTGCGGTATTGCTATCCTTACTTCTGTGCTGCTGCTGGTGGTGGCGCTGCCTTTAGAGCTGGGCAGCTGGGGAGTGGCAGCTGTTGGCTGGGGGCACAGCTCTCAAGGCAGAACTGCTGCCAACAGCAGTGCAGAAGTAAGGATGGCATAGTATGGTATTACCACCCTTACTTCTGTGCTGTTGCGGCACTGCCTTCAGAGCTGGGCGCCCAGCCAACAGCCACCACTCTCCAGCCACCGAACTCTGAAGGCAGCACAGAAGTAAAGGTGGCAATACCATGACTCCCTTAAAATAACCTTGTGACCCCTGTGCAACTCCCTTTTGGTTCAGGACCCCCAGTTTGAGAAATGCTGGTCTCCCCTATGAAATCTGTATAGTATAGGGTAAAAGCACACAAAACACCAGATTTCATGGTCCGTGACGTTAGGGTGACCAGATGTCCCGATTTTATAGGGACAGTCCCGATTTTTGGGTCTCTTTCTTATATAGGCTTCTATTATCCTCCCACCCCCGTCCCGATTTTTCACATTTGCTGTCTGGTCACCCTACGTGACGTGTTTTTCATGGCCGTGAATTTGGTAGGGCCCTAACTATATCCACCGAATCACTTTGTCCACATGTTTGTTGACCCCCTCAGTGAATTCTAATAGGTTAGTGAGGCATGATTTCCCTTTACAAAAGCTGTGTTGACTCTTCCTCAGAATATTCTGTTCATCTATCGGTCTGATAATTCTGTTCTTTATAATACTTTCAACCAGTTCTTCTGGTACTGAAGTTAGATTTCCTGGCTTATAATTCCCAGGATTTCCCCTGAAACCCTTTTTGATAATAGGTGGTACATTAGCTATCCTCCAGTCACCTGATACATAGGCTGATTTAAGCAATAGGGATTCTGTAGCGATGCAACGACTCACCGGCGCAGAGCCTCCTGCTGGCCGTCTCAGGAATTAGCTCTTGTTCAGCTTGGAGCGCCCTCTCTTGGCCGGTGTCTCGCCTGCCTCTGGCCCCCATGTCCCTCCCAGACCCCAGTGCCCCTTACCCTCTGGGTCCTGCCCCCAGCAGTAACCCACAGTCATCATATAGCCCCTGCTCACTGGGGCAAACTACAGTCTGTAAAAAACCACTCATCATTGGCAAGGGGGGTGGGGGTTGGACCAGCTGCCTCTGCCTAACCCCAGGCTGTTCCTCCCAGTCCCCATATCTGCATAGGCCTCTATCAAGGCCTGCAGCCTGGGGAGTTGCCAGGCTGGAGCTCCCCAGCTCCTCCTCCCTTTCCCCAGCACGGCGCTCGGCTTTCTGTCCCACTCTCGGTGGCTCCTCAGAAACTCCCTCCGGAGGAGTTTTACCAGGACTCGCTGCTCACTTGCCAGCTGCCCCAACTCTTCGTGAAGGGCCCACTGCCCCTCCCATAGTCCCTCTTGGGTCTCCCGGATCCCTTGCAGGTCATCTGCCCCCTTCTGCAAGGGTGCTGACACCGGGGCCCAACCAGGGATGGCATCTAGGGTCTCTGCCAAGAAAACCCCCGGGTAGCTGGGTTCCATAGTCCCCTTTCTCCAGATCTCCAGGCAGTAGTACCAGTCCTTGCCCTGCCCCTTGTATCAGGGGCAGACCGCATGTGCCCACATTCTCCACCACGTGTAGCGATGCAACGATTCATCGGTGCGGTGCCTCTTGCTGGTCGTCTCAGGAATTAGCTCTTGTTCAGCTTGGAGCGCCCTCTGTTGACCGGTATCTCGCCTGCCTCTGGCCCCCGTGTCCCTCCCGGACCCCGGTTCCCCTTACCCTCTGAGTTCTGTTCCCAGCAGTAACCCACAGTCTGGGTCTCCCCTCCCAGGGGAACCCCCAACCCTCTATCCCCACCTGGCCTCAGTGGCTACTGCCAGTCATCATCTAGCCCCCGGGCTCACTGGGGCAAACTGCAGTCTGTCATAGCCACTCATCATTGGGGTCGGACTTGCTGCCTCTGCCTAACCCCGGGCTGCTCCTCCCAGCCCCCGTACCTACATAGGCCTCTATCAAGGCCTGCAGCCTGGGGAGTTGCCAGGCTGGAGCTCCCCAGCTCCTACTCCCTTTCCCCAGCACTGCTCTGTCTCAAGTACCCTTCTCTCCCAGGCAGCCAGGTCCTTCTCTTTCAAGAGCTAGAGAGAGGCTGACTTAGCTCCTGGCTGAGCCCTTATAACAGGACCAGGTGTGGCCTGACTGGGGCA